TGGAGAGCAGCTCTGCAGACATCACCTCCACAGGCCATGTCCAGCACAGACCCAGCTACCACAGCCCCACCTCAGCCGATCCTGCCTTGAGGACCAGATCGCTGATCCAGGCCAGCCAGGACTGCTGGGTCCCAGCTCCAGCCCAGGTAAAACCTGCTCAGAAGGCACCTGGATCTGACAGGGGCTCAACAGCACAGAGACACCCCTGCCCAGGACAGGGGGTCCTGGACCCCTGGGCTCTGCGCAGCTGCTGCCCTCGCTCTCCCCTGGCAAAAGCATCTCCACACGGGAGCCGGGGCCATGGCAGCCCCGGCAGCTCGGGCAGGGCAGGGCAGGGCACTGCTCCCCGCTCCCCTCTGCCATGGGGCATGGCCAGCGCCGAGCTGCTGGAGCCAGATGAAAAGCCGGATTGTTCTGCTGCTTCCAGGGGCCGGGACACATCATCCTGCTGCCGGGGCTCGGACCGCCGTGGAGTGGGGCAGCTGTGGGCGCGGGGACGCAGCAGCCCCAGCTCATTAGCAGGGGACAGACGGGCAGCTCGTGGCCCAGTTCCTGCTGCGGACACACAAAGCACCTCTGTTACTTGTTCTCTCAGCTCACAGGCTCCACGTGCTTTGCACAAAGCCCAGCACAGCCGTCAGCGATGCAGCCAGCTGGCCTGGCTGACCACAGCCTTCCCAGCAAGCCTCCCAGTGCTCCCAGTGCAAACACAGCCAGGACAGGAGTGGCCAGCAAGTGCACTGCTGGGGGAGCAGCTGCTGGGGGCAGTGGGGAGACCACACAGAATCATCACCTGGATTAGAAAAGACCTTAAAGATTATCAAGTCCAATGGCTCAGCCCTCACCTGGATGAGCTGGTTCAGACCAGCTGCTGTGAACCCCAATCCCAGAATTGCCCGGATTGGAAAAGCCCTTTAAACTCACTGAGTCCAATCATAAACCCAACACTGACCAGTCCCCGACTAACCCATGCCCCTCAGCACTGTGTCTACACGACTCTTCAATCCCTCCAGGGATGGGGACTCCACCACTGCCCTGGGCAACCCCTTCCAATGCCTCAGAACCCTTCCAGCAAAGAAATTCTTCCTCACATCCCATCTCAACTGCCCTGGCCACAACTGGAGCCCATTTCCTCTTGTCCTGTCCCTTGGGCCTTGGTTGAACAGACCCACCCCCACCTCTCTCCACCCTCCTCCAAGGGACTTGCACAGAGCCACAAGGTCTCCCCTCAGCCTCCTTTTCTCCAGGCTCAACACCCCCAGTTCCCTCAGCCACAAGGGAACTCAGCACACTTGTGCTCCAGACCCTTCCCCAGCTCCGTTGCCCTTCTCTGGACACGCTCCAGCACCTCCATGTCCTCCTTGGACTCAGGGGCCCAAAACTCTACCAGGCTCTGGTACATGGTGAGGAACATCAGACAGGCTGACAGGGGAGGGGAGGAAACACTCCTTGTTTTGTGTAAATGTGAACGTGCTCAGTCTTGTGCTGAATGACAATAAAACTGATACCGAACAGCTGTCTGGGGCTGAGTAAATAAATAAGTGCTGCATTAGAATCACAGAGGTTACTGGGGACAAAAGGAACTGGCCACAGGTCACCTTCATTATCTCAAGTCATGCTTTTCCAGGGTTCCCAGCAGCTCCGCGTGCTGCTAATGGTGGGTACCACGTGGAACAGGCAAACCCCCAGAGCCGGACCAGGCACACTCCCTGCTCAGGCTGCTTCCAGAAAGTCCTTGGCAGGAGCTGCGCCCAGCCTGGAGAGCTCACTGGGGCAAGTCAGCCAAGGTTTACAAAAGATCAGATTGCATCTTACAATAAATCGCTCCCTTTTGAGCTTTTCACGTCAACAAGGACTGAAAGAGCCCACAGAAAAAGGCTTAGTGATGCAGTTCTGGGGCCTTGGGAGAGCTGCTGCCAAGCAAGGAAGGGCTGGGCTGGAGGGCAACGGACAGGCGTGGAGCTGCCATTGGCATCAGACCCCGTTTGGAGAAGAAAATAAGGACGAGGTGGGTTGTTACCTTTCTTGGGTCACTCTAGGAGACGGAGGAGAAGGCATGGCCACAGCGCCTGGAGGAGTGAAGTAAGATTTTGGGTAATAAAAGGATTAATAGGGAGAGGTGAGAAGGAAAATGGCACAAAGCTGGAAGCTCAGCACGGATCAGAACCGGCAATCAAGGCACAGGGTTAGTTTAGAGAAGGTGTTTGGTACCTGTGGAGCAGAGCGGGATGTTAATGATGGAGGAGTCCCCGATGGGACAGAAGCAGTTGACCTTCATGTCTGGAAAACTGGGAGTGTGGGTGACACCAGGGGAAAGTGTCTGTGCTGCAAACTCCTGAATTACCAGGCAAACTTCTGGTGCTACCCTGCAGTGTGACCCAGAATGAGTCTGGAAGGGATTGTGTCACCTCCGTGCCTTTGTAGATGTAGAGAGGAACCTTGGTGGCCTTTTGGCTGGAGGTCTGCTTCTACTTGCTAAGCCAAATCTGAACAGCCATGTCTGTTAACTGCCTGTCTTCTGCTTCTCCCCCAAAACCCACACTCGTGTCCTCAGGACAAGCACATGCTGGCCCCCCATCCCTCGACAGGGACACCCTGCTGCCCTCCTGTGCCACCCAGAGCACCCCTCCATGTCATCTGGACCAGCACACCCCAGTCACCTGTGAGACACTGAGGACAGAGCAGTCCCAGAGGCCTCCTCCGCTGGTGGCCCCATGCCCAGGACCTCGGCACGGGAGCAGGACCAGGGCAAACAGCTTCTGGGTGAGGGAAGTGGTCCAGCCCCCAGCACAGCTGTGGGGTATGACCACCAGACCCATGGCTGAGCAGCCACCTCACACCCCCATCCCCACCACAGACGTGTTTCACCCGCTCTGCCCTCCAGCCTGCCAGAGGCAGAAGCACCCAGCACAGCTCCAACCCCAAGAGCAGCCCCTCTGCCAGGCAGGCCAGCTCCCACCCACAGGTACTTCACCCAAATGATTTCCAATGTTTGATGTAAGTTTGATGACTCCAAGGCAGCCGAGATGCCCTCAGCTCGGACCAACGCTGAGCAGCAGCAGGGTCCCATCACCAGCCCTGAGGACCACCAGTGCCACTGAAGAGCACCCAGCAGCCCCTGCCTGGAAACCTGCATTTCACAGAATCCCAGAACTGTCAGGATTGCAAAAGCCCTTTGAGGTCATCAAGTCCAACCATGTACCCAACACTGACCAGTCCCCTATGACTAACCCATGTCCCTCAGCACTGTGTCTACACGACTCTTCAATCCCTCCAGGGATGGGGACTCCACCACTGCCCTGGGCAACCCCTTCCAATGCCTCAGAACCCTTTCAGCAAAGAAATTCTTCCTCACATCCCATCTCAACTGCCCTGGCCACAACTGGAGCCCATTTCCTCTTGTCCTGTCGCTTGTTACTTAGGAGAAGAGGATGCCAGGAGAGGAGGACACACCAGGAGGTTGACCCACAGTCTCCGAGCATCTCGAGGCTGGAAGGACGAGGGCCAAACCTCTTCAGGTTTTTTCTGGACTGCTGCTGAGCCAGAGACCAGGGGAGAGATGAAGGTTTGGGAATCAAAGGCCCATGAAGGTGCATCAGAGCAAGGCAGCTGCCAGCACTCTGTACCCTCACCCTGTCCACGCTGGGTGTGATTCCTGAGCTGTGGCACACAGGGGCCCATCCCCACCCACCGCAGGGCTGCGAGCACCCATGGCCTCACTGCCTGCCCGTGGGCTGCAGGCACTGTGCTGGGTGCTGTGGAGTCATCCCTAGTGCAGCAGCCACAGCTCTGGTTGCTGGGGACAGCCAGCCCTGGGGACAGCCAGCCAGGACATCACAAATGTCACTGTCTGGAGGAGGCAAAGCCACAGAGACACCCAAAGGGAGAGCCAAGCAAGGAAGAACAGTTCCCTGATCACAAGGCACCAGGCTCTCCAGGCTCACCGAGACCAGCCATGCCACGCTGGCAAGAGCACCAGGACCCACCTGGTCATACGGTGACAGCAGAGACCTGTTGATGCTACAGGTCACCACCCCCGTGCTCTCTGTCAGGGGAGCAGTGACAGCACTGCTCTGCCACGGAGCAGAAACCCCGGGATGTGGGTAAGGAGAGGAGGGCTGGTGGGACGTCAGGATAGCGATGCTCACTGCGTGCAGTTTGGGGACCTTATCAATGTCTATCAATATCTAAAGGGTGGGTGTCAGGAGGATGGGGCCAGACTCTTCTCAGTGGTGCATAGCGACAGGACAAGGGGCAATGGGCACAAAGTGGAACACAGGAGGTTCCACTGGAACATGAGGAAAAACTTCTTTCCTGTGAGGGTGCCGGAGCCCTGGGACAGGCTGCCCAGAGAGGGTGTGGAGTCTCCATCTCTGGAGATGTTCAAACCCACCTGGACGCCGTCCTGTGCAACCTGCTCGAGGTGAAACTGCTTTGGCAGGGG